TGACCTTTAGCTGTAAAGAAAAAATTTAAAAAGTCTGACCAGCTTGAACAGACTAGAAGAAAATATAACGTATTATTAAGAAATGTCAGAATCAGCAGTCAGTGGTGACAAGCAGAGCAGAGCTAAGGACTTGGAATCATTAGTATTAAGCAGTGGGCAATGATAGCAGGTAGATCAGATTTCGTGTCGGCGAAGACCGTGAAGAATTTGATCAAGAATAATAATAATTTCTGAATTTTTTATTATCACTTTTTAAATTTTACTTATTTGAAAAAATTTATTAACTTTGCTACTTAGTCCGATTACCCTCTGTAACCAAGTATCTGTTCCATAAGGATTGATTTAACTAACTGACCTAGAAAAAGATAGAGAAAACTGATGTTTCGCCGTAGAGATTAGAGATAATACAATTACAGTAAAAAAGTCTTATACTACCCTGTAAGTTACGATCTACTATAAAATTAAAAGTAGCTGGACCCTCTCTTTCTAACTTTCATTTTGGCACTATATTCTCATAATCAACAAAAACAAGAGTTAAGAGGGCTAGAGATAGACCGAGATCAGATTACTGTTCACAAAAAGTTAAGGATGTAGGCTGTTCTAGTTTTAGGGAAATGCAAAGATTAGCTCAGGATAGGAAGAAGTGGAGGTGCGTGTCCAACTAGTCTTACTGACGACTTATTATGTTGATCATGGTTTTTATATCCATAGGTATGGTGTTGTGGTACACCTCAGAGGAACCAAGCTTATGCTATTCGACAAATACTAATTATAGGTTGTGTTCAATGTATTTTGTGTAGAACAAAATGACAAATATCTAACATATTCACCCCGTAAGTGCTATTTGCTCACAATATTTTTAAATTTTAGTACTATTTACAGGATTGCTTCCAAAACCTTTTGTCGAATTGAATATACCTTGTCAGTTCTTCTCTCTCTTTCCCTCCCGGCAAGCAGTAAGTAAAGTAAAAGGGAGAGAGATGTCCACTAAGACATTCAATTTATGGCCAGCGTTACCAGTCCTAGGGATATTTCCCTAGACCTGGGTAATTTGGAGCTTTATTAGGAAAAGTTTAATAGACAATATAATTTAATTTTTATGCCAAACAAATTCTCGTTATTTAGAAAAGTGAACCTTGAAAATTCCTTTAAATATATTTTGAATTAACTTAACGCTCTACTGACCTATAAAACTTTTGCTTTGTTTTCTATTGTTAATTTATATACGTTTTTGTTTTAAGAAATTGCTAAACATTTTCGTCTAGTACTGTACAGTTCTAGCCGATCTNATTTTTATGCCAAACAAATTCTCGTTATTTAGAAAAGTGAACCTTGAAAATTCCTTTAAATATATTTGTGAATAACTAAAAAAAGGTTTTCCTTTTTTGCGTCAAATGAATTTCTTTTTGTTTAAACATCCTTTTCACATCGGGGAAATACAAGGAAAATAAATAGAAAATTATAAAAAGCCAATAATTCACCCCACTTAGGTAAACTTTTAAAATCAAAATCGAACGTTGAATAGGTATATTCAGTTATTAAGGTTGATTTATTACAGTTATTGATAAACAAATGAATGATTAATGAGTTTTTAAGGCAAGGCCTTTCCTTTTCATTACATATTTCATTATATAGAAAGAAATAAGTTATTCCGAAAGCTTTAACAACTTCCTGTTCTCTTGCACAGTTTTAGCTAAATCACATTTGTCTGACGGACTCCCAATCGATTTTCTCGCTTTTATTAATTTCCTTGCCGAGAAAAATAATCTTGAGTCAGAAAAGCCGTAGAAATTATATAACGTGATGGACGACTTACCAAAAATCAGAATATTAAACAGAAAAACGTTACAAAATAATTTGCATATTACATCAGTTAATTTATATTTTTGATGTAGATAACCGTTGTATAATACATATACTATACTATACTATATAATATATAACAGCAAATTTTTGAATTGGTCATTAAGAGAAGTTAAATGAATACCTTATACTAAAGCGAATTCATAATTACTATGCCATGTAAATTACGTAGCCATTTGCACGAACAGAGCTAAGTAAGCGAAGTCACACATAATAAACTTTTAAAGTGAAAGAGAGATAATTTAGTACCTTGTTCTAACATCTGCCTGTTAAAACTAGGTATAACTTAATCAAGAAAAATAGAAAACAAATTATTTTTTGTTAACAAGCACCGGAAGAAATAACTTCATCTACAACTGTTTTTGGTACCTTTTTAAAGTTCCCTACCTCAAGTTGAAATTAATATCAAATATTTAAGTTTGCAATCTCTTGGACTATGAAAAAATCAAATTTATCAAAAGATACGGCCATTTATGCTGCACATTTTGACACTTGCAAGGGAATAAATCACTTCCCGTTATAGCACAAATAAGGGGAAAAATCCAAAAACAGTAAATTTGCAGTTACACCACAAAAAAAAAATAATTGTAATTATCATCATCATAAAGTCGTCAGTAATATTAATAGTTGGACACGCACCTCCACTCCTTTCTATCCTGAGCTAATCTTCGCAAGACCCTAAAACCAGAACAACCCACATCCTTAACTATTTGCGAACAGCAATCTAATTTAGGTCTACCTCTACTCCTCTTAACTGCTCTAATGTGTCTCTGACTAGACCTTCATACCTAAGAAGGTGTTCTATCAACATATCTCGCCTATTTTTAATTGATTTCCATAGAGTCCCCTACTCTCCTATTCTTTCTAATGTCTCTTCATTTCTAAACTTCTCTATCAACGGTATCCTCATCATTCGTTTTCCTTTCTTTCCCGTCGACTTCTTTTTATTGAAGGCAACTCGAACCTATGCTATCCTTTGCTTTATATCCTTACTACTCCTTCCGTCCTGACCTATCTGACTTCCTGAATACCTAAAATCAGCCACTTCTTCTAATCTTTCGTCTCCTATCTTTACATTCGTTCTTTCCCTAACAATTGCAAAACATTCTTAACATAATGTATACTGGATAATTAGTAACATATACAGGTTTACTTAATTAGCCAAAAAGTTTTTAAGAAACTGGTTAGATCAAAGAAGATCCAACTAACTTATATTTATAATTTTGACAGTCAGTTAGATAAGATCAGATCAGTATAATTTACTTTGTATATATCACTGATTAATCTGTATACATTATATTAGGAATTTTTTGTAATTGTTTTCCAGAGCTTGATAAAGTCTCAAGAGATAGATACGAAACCTAGCGAGTCAACAATGGTCTAATGGTTTTTCAATTTTGTTTATCAATACTCATAATCCTGTTCAATTATTATTTTCATTGTAATATTCTCCATTTCAGTGGAACATCGAACCACCAACGATTTTTTTAGTGAAACATAAATTTCTATCAAATGTCTTATATCTTGTACTAAGCATTCCTAAGGTTATTTTGTTTTATTAGTAATTTAAATGGAATTCTACAATCACTTAGCTGTGACTGTTAACTATTTACTTTCGCTATAGAAAAACTTTAAATGATTATAGTCGTGTTATAAAAAAAAATGGATTTATAAAAAATGTATACAGTTGAATAAATAAATACTTAGTAAGAGGCAATATATATTGAGCTGTAACTATTTACATTCACTTTCTGACATTCCCAGGTCAACGGGCAGGAGATTCAGAGAATCGTAGTTAGCATCGCATCGTATGCAAACTACAATTATGTAAATGCAGATTATTCTAATTGTGTGAAATGCACTGATGAATATTAATGTACGAATGCTAGGTGCCAAAAAAAAAAAGAACAGTGTGAATTCTGTAGTTCCAAAAAGGCTTACTACGATACTAACACTCCAGAAACGGCTCTCAAAGCTTTCTCGATTTAAATAATTAGCTAGATTACAAAAATACTGTTCGTTTTTAAAACTATGGCTATATTACCTACTTTTAATAAAATTTTGAAAATTCCAACTGACTGCTTTAATGTGTGAAGTATTTTTCCATGGGAAGAAAACAAATAAATTTTGGTATTTCTTAAAGGAAAAGGAAATTTTTGGTTTCTAGAAGGTTTGACTAGGTTGAGGTCCAAAAGGCACCTGTCTATCTTTTTTCACTTAAAATATTCTATACCTAACTGCATTAAGCTTCAAATTTTCAACAACTTAGGTTTTTGTAGTTTTTAGGTTACGTGCGTCCGAATGAAAAACAGAACGCTTATTGGATCACATTTTTGGGGACCAAAGTTCTGTGAACTGTACCTACCGTGTGACATATCAAATGAAAGGGCTTGTTGTAAGGGTCTCAAATATATATTTTTCTATGGTAATTTATTAAGTAAAGTATTCTTAAAGTTACTTAACACAATAGATGAAAATTAACCAAATCCCATCGCTTATTTCCAAACTACTGAATCTAATATTTTGAAAAGAAATACAGAAAATAGTCTTTTACTTTTAGATTAACAGAAAAATTAATATGAAGTCCACCTAATTGTATGTATTATTTATAGATTCCATGATAATAATTTCAATTTTAATTATATTTTTAAAAAAAGATTTGTTACTCATATTTACCTATCTAATAAACAAATGCTGTTAAAAACAACTATAGAATCAAAAAAATCATATAATGTGGAGTAGAAGTAACAGGCAATTGTCTATAAATTGACTATTTCCGAAACTATTATTTCGAGAAACATTAGCTTTAAACTTTAGCACTAAACAAAAACAACAAAATCCATTCTGAGGGTAGGTAAGTAGATATATTTCTATTTCATTAATTTGAACTTTCATTTTCTGGTACACATCAATTTTGAAAATTAATTAATAATATTAATGATAAGTTGTAACGAAATAAACGGACAACCGTCGTGAATCACCCGAACTTCAAAAAGGAAAACACCAAGAATCATAAATTCCATGTTCACTAATCCATTCTAATCAGTTGTATTCACCACGTTCGTCATTTAACGAAAATACACTGGCGAAACGTACCACATGTTATTATGTTTGTTGTTAGTTAGTTGGGTACTCACCTCGCGCTCGTCATGTCGACTTCGACCGATGACGACTTTGCACTGGGTCTAGAAGTGCCCATGAAGCCGGCGCCCGCTGGTCCGGCCGCGGAAACAACGGAGCCTTGGCGGACCGGTTGAGACGACGATTGCTTCTCGGGCGCGGCCCACGATCGGGCAGCTGAAGAAGAAGGCGGTACCATTGCAAGGCCTTGATCTGCAAGACGTGCTGCAACAACCGACGAAGACTTTTGCTTTTGAGGATGAGATCGACCGCTTTCAATGGCACTATCGATACTTCGCTGCAAAAAAATTGCTTCACGTGATCGACTGTAATCGTTTAATTCTCAAAACTATCGACAGCTAATCGTTAATCAACTGCTAAATTAGCTACTTAAATCAATAGCGGTTAATGCATGACAGGAACCCACCCCGTTATTTTTCTAAATAAAAGAGATGCATCCTTTATTGTTTTGTGGTAAACTTCTGAAATAAAGATATATTCCCATAGCATCTAGGTTAGGTTGGGGTAATGAATGAAGACCTCCCTGAAGGTCGAATGGTCACTGATGCTTTAGTGGCCATTTGACCGTTGAAGGACAGGAGAAGCTTAATCCTCTGGTGTTTTTTACTGTTGTTGATGAAGATGAAGATTAATCTTTCGTTCTGTTCGTGTTCGATATGATAATAAGAAAATTTAGTAAAACAAATATTTATTAGGCACAGTTACAGAATAGAAGAGTAAAGTAAAGGAAAAAGTTGATTTAGAACTGAAGAATTTTGAATTTGAATAATTTAGGAAAATTGCATTTTGCATTTTCACTTGTGTGAAATAAAAAGAAAATATTCCGACAAAGAAATGTCTAATTATTATGTTCGGTTATCGTTTTGCCTTACCCATATATGTGATATAATGTGATGATTTATGAACGAATGCCTGTAAGCGATCGATATCGATTGCACCTTTGATACGACCAAAAGAGAAATTTCGGGAAATGATGAAGAATATTCCACTACCGTATAAACAAACGGACAGAATTCAATGAGAAGGAGTCCATATAAGTATAGTGCGAGAACAAGAATAAGACTAAACATAATAGTAATAATAAATCCTACATTAATATAATTAATCAGATTGTCAAATAAATTATATTAAACAAATTACGTATATATATACATATATATATATATAAGAGACATATTTAAATAGACATACGTCACAATGTTGTTATTAATTTCCTCATCCATAATAGGTAGTAATATTGGCAGTTGTCTACGGTAATTGTCAATTTTATCAATGATAGATTTTCAGGCAATTAATTTTCGTAAAATCTGTTCCACTAAACTAAGTAATCATTTGGGAAAGTAAATACCTGTTTGTTAGCCTTAATTATTACGATTACATTAAAGTAGCTCCGTGAACCATTAATGAAATAAATTAATCCATTAGGTAGCTGTTGCTTGATTAAATAAGCTTCTTGGGATTCCATGTATTATTTATTAATGTTAATTTATTTGTAATTGAAAATGAACCTTTAGAGGAAACTGTTTGCCAATCAATAGAAATCCTTTCAAGTGTTGAAATTTTTATTTATTCGTTTATCTTTAGCCGATAGGTACCATAGTGCCTCGCTGCATTTCCCTTGAGTAATTTTATTTTTACTGTCTGCAAACTTTTTAACGATTCTGCCACACTTGCGAATGCCAATAAATCATAGCTGATAAAATTGTATCTAAGTAAGGCTCACTCTTTATCCTATTTTACGGCATTATAAATAAAGCTGCACCGTTATCGTCCTATCTTCTATTATTTATTCAAACTTTTAAAAAATATTACTCACAGAATATTAATACTGATAATGAAACCGATTATTATTATTTAGCAGAAGTAAAATAAACGAACCAAAAATATAAACGACAAGATTTTTAAAAATATAGGTTTCTGGCCTTCATTGAGAGGAATGCCTTTACTTTAGGGCTGTTCGATTTTAACCCTTTAGTCACAATATATATTTCTCCTTTACAATGTTATTAAAATTTCAATGGAAAATATGGAAACAAAATCACAGAATGCAGTCTTTAAGATAGTTATAGTTTCAGTATAAATTCAAAAAAATTTTCTTTATAGTGCAGAATCAAAGCAGAAATTCAATTTCAATTTTTCATTGTAAATAAGCCTTTATCAAGGATATAAATAAACACAAAAGTTATTTCGAGCCCAGGCTACTTGTCTGCTACTTATTAAGCTTTTCAGTCAATAATTCGTTTACATAATATCATATTGTGACAGTATGTCGCCATCTACTGATGTTTGCTACAATTAGCAGCCAAACATTCCAGTTGAAACTAAACAACTGCAAAGAATTGAGCGAGTTTAAATTTCTATATAATTGGTTGCATATACAAGCATTCTAATGACATGTTGTAACTATTAAATTTTTAATATTTTAAAATATACATAAATTATAAAATTTTTGAACTAAATTAAAATGTAAGTGTAATGTAAATGTAGTCCATCCTTAAGGATACCTACGTGCGCATTTGGACAAGCTCACCTAGTTATAGATGGAATGTAAGATGCATCATTAATTGAAGAGAAGGTGGAATTTATCAAAGAACGTTTTGGTACTTTAAAACAGTAGCAGTTAAATGATTAAACCACATTTCATACAAATTCTGGAAGATTCCTTGAAAGTAAACAATTATGGAATAAGCTGACATCAGATACTTCCTAAATAAATTAAGGTTAGTAGGTACGTAGAATCTAATCATTTTTATTCTTTGTGGGCGTCAGCTGTCCAAAAGTCAATTTAGTTTTACATTAAAGGGTTACTGTTTACTACGCTTCATGGAATTTCAGACCTTTATTTTCTTACTTAAAAGGTCCAAGAATGTTTTTATAAATCATTCACGCTACGTAGTCGCAAAGTTCACTAGACAAGAGCGTGGCGATGAGAAAGCTTTTCTCGGTGGCATAGACAATTTATGTTCTTGTGTTAGACGACGTATTTTTTTTTTCTATTTATTCAAAAATGTTTGGTATGCAAATGAATGAGAAGGAAATTCTACTTCTATTCCAAATAAAATAGATACGATAGGGTTGAAATTAAAAAATATGGTAATTTGGACTTTTTCATACTTTTATAAGAAGTACAACCTTCATTATCTAAAAATAATGAAAGTTCGAGTCTTTTGTTCTTGTCATATTCTTGTTTATGTTAACTTCATATTGTATTAGTTTTCTTAAGTCTTACCACAAGAAATCTTGTTTTCGATTTTGAACGTATTATACGTATCAAAATTTAGATGGAAATAATATTAAAATAAAAAGAATAAGATTGCATATCTGGAGTAAGGCGCTGTACGGGCGCGAAACGTAGAAGGTGGGCGCGGCGGAAAATTGAAGGTTAGAAACGTTCGAAATGTGGTGTTACAGGCGAATGATGAGGATACCATGGATTGATTTCAAGTATCTAGGAAGTTAGGTAAGTCAGGACAGAAGGAGTAGGAGGGATATAGAGCAGAGGACAGCGCCTTCAACGAAAAGAAGTCAATTCTATGCTCGGGAACGATTAATTTAGAAATTCAAAAAAGATTGTTATAGGTGTATGTTTGGAGCGCGGCGGACATGGACAGTTGGCGCTACGGAAAAGAAATGGTTAGAAGCGTTTGAAATGTGGTGTTACAGGCGAATGATGAGGATACCGTGGATAGAGAAGGTTAGAAATGAAGAGGTATTCGAAAGAGTAAGAGAACAGAGGGCTCTATGGAAGTCAATAAGAAATAGGCAGGATAGGTTGGTAGGACACCTTCTCAGGCATAATGAACTAGTTAAATACATATTAGAAGCAGAAACAGGAGTTAAGAGGAGTAGATGAGAACCTAGATTATAATACTGTTCGGAAATAGTTAAGGACTAGCTGATCCGGCGAACTTCGTACAACCAGTCAATTGATGTAGCTAAACTTAATTTATTTATGTTTTTGATGACGTAATTTTCATAAATTTTTGACAAATCGTAGAATTTTTACTTGATACAAATTATTAATAATTGATACAAATACTAAAAAATTGGAGCATCTAACTTTATAGCAAGGCGGACCTGATTCTATGTAATACCTACCAAAAAAATTTGCCGCCCCTACTTTTGCACTACCCGGGGCCCATGGTCTCCTTTGCCCCCCTCCCTTTGCCTATGGTCTTTCCGTTTGGTATTGATGGTATAATTTACTTAAAATACTCCTTCATAAAGTAGTAACAGAAATTGTGGTCGTGTTATATTCCATTCTTGTTAGAGTTCACTTTTTTTATTCACGCACGGGAAAATTACTAATTAAGTTTTCCCGGAATGTTGAGTGTTTTTATGTAAATTATACCGTCAAAACCAAGCGGTTAGGCCGACATTTTCTACGATTTTCCACCGTCCCCGCTTATCTCAAAATGGGCCGAGATTCCTCCTGTATATCATATGAGAAAGACGCTCTAGATTAAAAACCTGATATACCAGGCGGCAGAAGGTTGGCATGTCATGGGTTTTTTGCGGGTGAACTCCCTATCTAACACGGATTTTCCAAGTGCAAGTCGCAAATGGGCACTGTTTGGGGTCAAGAAATCGAAACACGACGCCATCTACTTGATGCTTACCCAACCTTGATAGCAATATATTTTGAAGTGTTGTGTTGATAGATTATTATTCTGCTATTCGGGAGGAGACGAATCAAACAATTCAGAGATCATTAAAATCGGTCCAGTCATTCTCGAGTTATAAATGGTGTAAACAACCCCACTTTATTTTATGTAAGTAGATGTGGGGTGTTCGAGTATTACGAAGAAGTAACTGAGGATAGGAAACAGTCGAGGTGCGTGTTCAACTTATCTTAGGACTGATGACTCTACGATGATGACGATATGGATAAATTACCCGCTATCTGTATATAATTTGAGAACAAGGTACACTCAAAATCATGAGCAAACGGTTTTGACAAAATTAGTTTCTCAACTAGTTTATCTTGTTATTGTCACGTATCTCATATGCTCTTGATGTTGTTTTGGTTTTTAAGACAAGGCAAGGCAAAATCGATATACTCCTTACTCTTTCGACAGTCCTGGGTAGTTCATTAAAACGGTGTCAATTACATGAACCATGTAGACAAGCAAAAATGGTAAATTCCAAAGAAATAATGTGATTTGTACCGAATGCCAAAACACTTAGCTTCCTATTGATAAATTAAGCATTCAGATCTGCTCTCCATCTGCTGAAGTAATGGTTTGAGGATAACCATAATGTTCCTTAATCTTGGATGGTACGAAATTTGGGTTTAAAACACTTACGTTGACAAGGGGATTCCGGGTCTTAAACTCTCTCTCGACAGACCTCTGCTGAAGATGTCGACTTAAAGCAAACATCTCGGCTAACCTAGACCTCGTTTTGGAAGAGCTGGTCGTGCTGGTCTGTGAACTTCTCCTTCTTCCAGGAAACACCAAATGCTCAATGTCAGTAGTATAACTCGGGTCTCTCCGAACAAAATCTTGCATAGTCCATTTGGGTCCCTCTTTCGATCTGAAAACGTTATATGTACAGTCTACAATAAATAAAAGATGCAAAAAAAATGAATATCGAATAGCAATACAATTATTGTTTCACTGAACGACAACTTCCTCAGCTGGTTAGGTAATTGTCCAGTCACGACAAAATGGCTTCTATTTTCTTTTATAAATTGGGCAGGTCAATAAAATCAAGTAGGTGTTGAAAAGGAAGAAAAAAATGATAAAAAGGCAGCTGTTGCATGTTACCAAAATCTGGCCTCAGAATTGTCTCAGCTCGTCAAGATTTTTGGATGTAACAATCTCAAAATTCAATTTTTGGGCTATTTGAGAAGATTATTAGATGAATTAAAAGAAGAAAAAAACCTAGCGAACAGTCATTTCAGAGGCATTTTTTTAGCGCTGAAGTGGAATCTAGCCTCATACTTTTTCGCGCGCATCAAGATTTTGAAGTATTTCCACTTCAATATCCAAATGTTGTATAAGCGAAATTCAAGTTTGCTTTCAGAAAATAAATCGAGAATAATTATTCTTTTTACAGTTTTTGTTTCTATAGAGAGATAAAATAAGAATCGGAAAATAAAATAACCGTTTTGGATCTATCGCTGATGGCGCACCCAAATTTGGTTCCAGAGAAGTTCTATCACATTGAAATTTCAAAATACTTTAATCTAACAAGTCAAATTAGCATCATTCGAATATTTAAAGTATGATATATCTATATTTATACATTAGGTTGTGCTGGAGAATATCTAAAACCAAATTCTAATTCAATTATTGAAGATGAATCAGAAATAACTACTCTCTTCGTTATCTTATCATTAATTCACCCAGTAATGCTTACAAAACGGTCAGAAATTGAATTATTTTGTATTTGAGGTTGGGATATCTTAAAATCCAGACGAGCTGTAGTCAGATTTGGAATGTTCGCCACAAAATACATCAAAATTGATATCCATATCCACGATAATCTCTGTTTTTTTGTGAACAATTTCACCAAAGAACTGCACAACAATTCTATTTATGATCATTCCCTTTGATGTGTAAAGTATCTTATGTGGGAGTAATTCTATGAATAGGTCGGAAACGCATGAGTAGATGTTAGGGAGGGTGAGTGCAAACAGTTGATTAGATTCCACGCCCGAAGAAATAGAGAAAAGAAAGGATGAAAAAGAATAAAGGCATGACACTCAACCGTTCGAATACCACTACGCATTACAATCCCACTGCACTGTGAAACGATTATTCTATTCGTTATTGATGCTACCACTGTAAGAATCACAGTGCATTCATTGTATGCCCCGGCACCTCCACCATATTATAAAAATATGCTAAAATTAAATAACATTCTAGGCTGCTAGGAGTATACGTGGGCGGTTCAATAAGTACCCGTGTTAGAAATGAAGAGACCTTTTTTTTTAAAAAAAATTTTTTTTATTTTTCAACATAGTCCCCTTTTAGAAAGATACACTTCTCCCAACGACCCTGCCATTTTTTTTAACCTTCCAAAAAATAAAATTTGACGAACTCTCCAAAATCCCCTCGTCTCGGCGATAACTTCCTCGTTTGAGCTAAATTTCTTTCTCGCTAGTCATTTCTTCATGGTAGGGAACAAGATGAAGTCGTAGGGAGTCAAATCGGGTGAGTACGGGGTGTGCGGCAGCAAATTCATAACGTAATTCATGCAGTTTGACGGCAACAACCCCTGATGAATGTGCCGGTGCGTTATCGTGTTGAAAACGCACCTTCTTTTTCATCAAATGCGTCCGTGTCTCCATCAATTTTTTGTCGAAGCGGTCCAATAACTCCCTGTAGTATTGTCCAGTGATCGTTCTTCCTTTTCCTAAAATATCCGTAAAATGATTTCCTCGGTAACAACGTTTGTCAGGCTTCCTGGTCGCTCCTATCAAAAACGGATCTTTGCCCACGTTTAAATTCGTTGAAGCAATATGTAACTGTGGTCGTAGATGGCGAAATGTCTCCATAAACAGTATCCAACTTTGTTTTCATCTCCTCGCATTTTTTCCCATCCAAAAACAAAAAGCGAGTTACCGAACGATACTGCTCTTTTTCCATCTTAGCGAAAATAACGAAACACGTCTCAGTCGAATGGCTGCCAAATCCAAACTAACCTATCAATCAGTCTGAAATTCGTTTTGGCGTGGTTTGATAGATGGCAGCACACGATGACAACACCAATTTCCCTCAGGAACATCTTCAAACACGGGTACTTATTGAACCGCCCTCGTATATCAAATGAACGTTAAGATCGAAACCATCAGAAATACAACCGGCTATTCCCTAGATGGATAAATATTTTAACGACATATGAAGAAAACAAACTCGAACATATTATCAAACTAATTTTGCTAATATATATGTAATATTTATTATTAAATTTGTACATTCCTATAAATCATTTAATATGCAGGAAAACTGATAATGCGGTCACAATTTAAACTTGTTGATTGAAGTAAAACTGAATTAGGCAGTTAAGGATATACTTGGGCGTACCAATTCTAACCGCTATTTGGCAAGTTATTAATGGAATTTGAAAGTTTGACAGACTTATCAAATTAATTAATCGAAGTTTATTAGGTTTGTGTTGATGTCTATGGTATTTCCTTCTATAGAATCTTTGCTACATCTTTGTCTGGATGGCACCCGTGAAACGTACAAAACAACATATTCGCTGTTAATATAATTTGCAGGATGATTGATTGCAGCAGTATCCGTTTTCTGAAAAGCCCGTCAGTTAGTGATAAGGGTTGATGGATAATTATCGCCACTCATTTATTTTATTGACAATTTTATCGTTATGGCATTTATCAGATTTATAATTTTTTACTGAATTCGCTCAAAAACTAGCAACATTATTTAGTAGTGATGTTATATTTGATATGATATGATGCATCTATTGAAAGCCATAAAATGAGAATATAATTATACATATTAATACGTGACTGTTGAAGTTTGTTTATTATTTCGGTATTTATTATAAAAGGAGGGAAAAGAAAAATTTAATTTTAATTGATTTGAAAGTTAACACCATTATGATTACGATTATGTACTTCAAGATTACTATTTCCAACTGATTAACTATAATAGTGAATTTTTCCACAATTAGTTATCGGTTGGATCTGTCTGCACAAACCAGTCCCATGAATATGGTCGAGTCTTTAATCAATTCGCATTCACGTCTTCATTGTCAAGAAAATGGCGTCGTTCAACCTCTTGTCTGAATGGCCTAAACATTTAATAGTCACACAATGACAAATCCGAGTCATAGGTTGGAAGTTTAAATGTTTCTCAATGAATTGTTCCCAATTTTCTAGAGCCAAACCAGCTGAACGTGACCGAGCGCAGTCGTGGAGAAGAATCATACCTTGGATCAGCAAATTTCGTCTATTTCGCAGAAAGTCAGTTCTGTTTCATCAAGAAGAAGCTAACAGTAGTAAGCGGTTAGGGGTTGACTGTATATCGCTCACAAAAAAGACCAATGAGTAGTATGCCTTTACAATCCTACGAAACACCATCAAGAATTTCCCTTCGGAAATATGGATTTTGGCTTTTCAAGATGCGGCTTCTACAAATTTCTATTACTCCATGTTGGCTTCTTTAGATTCCGGGGTATACGTCTTGTTGCGGATGATAATGCGACATAGTAAATGACCTTATCTGCCAGATGTCGCCCCCAAAACCGTCTTGATGAAGACCAAGACGTGGATGTGTTTGTGTACAATTAATCAGAGGCACGACCACATTAATTTTTTGGAAGCATCTCCTAATTTGAAGGGAAGATGTACTCCAAATAGAGAAGACCACTAAAAAAATTAAATATATATATACACGAATTTCTAGGGCGGTCGCCGCTTCTCCGTGCCCAGTTTTCAAATTTTTCTATCACAGCACATATGCTCCTCTAGATTCCTGTTTTCCATTGCTTCGTTGATATCGTCCCTTCAGCTTCTTCTAGGTTTTCCCCTCTTCCTTCTTTCCGGCGGCATCCATTCTAAAACTCTTCTTGGCCATCTTTCTTATCCCATTCTTTTTGTATGTCCAAACCATTTCAGTTGTTTCTTTTCTACTTCGTCTATAATATCGTTGTAAACGTCCATGTCCCTTCTAATAACTTAATTTTTGATCCTTTCGAGTCTTGATCGTCTACAACTCCTTCCTAGGAAATCCATTTCTGTCGCATGTAATTTTCTTCTAATGCTTTTGCTTATATCCCAACTTTCCGACTCGTATGTAATCACGCTCTTTATTATCGCAATGTATAGGGTTGTTCGGAAAGTCATTTCGTTTTTTCCCGACAGAGGATTTAATTGTATTCTTTTGCACCCAACTTCACATTTAAGCCGTATAATTTTTATATGCTTTGAGAGCTCATATAGCAAGGCTTGTGTGTGAAAAATTCCAATTAATTCTACGCAGTAGTTTTTGGTTGGTGCCCTTTTAAATATGGAGAGCGATAAGCAGCATTTTCGACATATCTTACTGTTTTACTACAGAAAGGGTAAAAATGCTGTTCAAGCCAGAAAGAAATTGACTGATGTGTATGGAGAAGGTGTGTTGACAGTACGCCAGTGCCAGAACTGGTTCGCTAAATTTCGATCCGGCAATTTTGATGTCGAAGATGCACCACGTTCGGGAAGGCCGGTTGAAGCTGATAAAGACGCGATAAAGGCATTAGTTGATGTGAACCGGCGAATAACAACACGTGAGATCGGATTGAGGTTAAATTTATCAAATTCAACAGTTTATGACCACTTGAAAGGCCTGGGATTATCCTCGAAGCTCGATGTATGGGTTCCCCATGTTCTCACAGAGAGAAATCTGTGTCGCCGCATTGACGTCTGCGATTCGCTTCTCAAACGTCACGAAAATGATCCGTTTTTGAAGCGCATCATCACTGGGGACGAAAAATGGGTTGTATACAACAACGTCAAACGCAAGAGGTCATGGAGCAAAAAAGATGAACCGGCTCAAACCATTTCCAAAGCCGATATTCACCAAAAAAAGGTGATGCTGTCTGTTTGGTGGGATTTTAAAGGAATCGTTTTTTTTGAGCTTTTACCGGATAACACAACGATTAATTCGGAAGTCTACTGTCATCAGCTGGACAAACTGAATGATGCACTTCAACAGAAAAGGTCAGAACTAATCAACAGGAAAGGTGTAGTGTTTCACCAAGACAACGCGAGACCTCACACAAGTTTGGTCACTCGCCAAAAGCTTTTACAGCTTGAATGGGATACAATGCTACACCCACCATATTCTCCAGACCTGGCACCATCGGATTATTATTTGTTCCGGTCACTCCAAAATTTTTTAGACGGTAAAACCTTCACCTCAAATGAGGAGGTCAAAAACCTCCTCGATCAGTTTTTTGCCAGCAAAGACCAAAAATTTTATGAGCGTGGAATTATGCTACTACCAGAAAGATGGCAAAAGGTGTTGGACCAGAACGGTCAATATATAATTTAATAAAGTATTTGTTTATTATACGAAAACTGTCTTTCATTTCCACAAAAAAAAACGAAATGACTTTCCGAACAACCCTATATATTCTCTTTTTAGTCTGTTTCCTTACGTCTTTTGCCCATAATATCGAAAAATTAAATGTATTCAAAAATATTCCTTAATGTATCAATAAATCTATTAAAAACAAATTCCGGGTTATAGGTATTGGATCGATTTACTACGAAATAAGTCAGGTCCTTTAAGTTACATCAATTTTAGTGTAATCACGTAGGTCATATCCAACTGTGTATGTCACATAACATTCGTTTCCGCATATTTGCCCCTTCTACTACGAAGTAGTAAGAAAGATGTTCAATAGCATTTCTGACGTAATAAGTGACGCTGATTTTAAATCTGACCTCCAAATTGCTGCAGCATGTCCGGGTTTTGGAATACACTATCCTCAAATTCCAGAAATTTTAAATTTTAGTCCCTTTGTACGCCAAAATAATCAAGAGGGTGGGCATCATCTTCGATTTCTCGTTTATCGCTGAATGTTGTAATATCAAATTTAAACAAATGTTGTGCAAATATTATTGCCCTTATTTCTTTATCTATCTGAATTTCATGATGAACTTCCTTATAAGTTTGAAATTGAATATTTCTTTGAAACTATAAAACTTCAATAGTAGATAATAAGGAATCAAATCGAAGGAGATTATTCTGACAAACAAATTCAACTAATGACAGAAAGACTTACCCATCTTTGCTCCGACTTTTAATTGAAGAAGAAGATTTTCTCTTGATGTTCTGAGGTTTCTGAGTTGCCGAACACTCTGTAAGGAAAATGAGCCGATCACGAATGTGGCTCAACTCCTCACGATTCATCTTACGAGGAGCCCTGGTCTCCTCTAAAATCCATACATTGAGGAAAATAATATTGGTATCCTACAAAAAAAATTAAATCCGTGTACATCATCGTTGTATTTAACAATAGCAATCTACGGAATGAACATAGCAAAATTCGAAGTTCAACAGTTAATGGTTAAATATCCCATTAATAAGTTCAAAAAAAGTAAACAGTAAATACACGTTATCTGTGTACTTATACAAGGTGTTTCCAAAATATGTGACAAGCATTTGAGGGTGTTAACTAGATGGAATAGGAAATCGCATGGTGAGTAAAGTAGCGTGGTTAAACGATATAACAATTTATAAAAAAATCAGTTTAAGTTGTAATTCCAAGCCGGCTATGGATGTGAATGTTAAAAGACAAAAAAAATTGTAAGAAAACCAAACGAAGTTGCAATCCAAAGTCGGCTCCGGGTATGAATATTAACGGACCAAAATAGTTGTAAAAAAACCAGACGAAGTTGCAATACAAAGCCGGCCCTGGGCGTGAATTGTCAACGTATAGAGAAATTCCGGTAACAATCAAGCAACTACATTAATACAAAGTGCAACAGTGACGGTTGTGGAACGACTAATAAAGTAAACATCAGCAGCTGACTTTGGACGTCGATTGTGATAACAATTAATTAAATAACTACTTTGTTTATCGGTAATAATATGTAGTACTATTTAAAGTACACCTCGACATGGTATCATAAACACATAAAACAAAAGAAATACTTGTACAACTTGGATGTTGTAGCTGATGAAATACGGCGATGCAATGTAGTATTTCATTGCATGACCCCACCAGGACCGAACTGGCTCTGGACTTTCAGACCACTAAACATTTACTAAATTTACTTGTTTTATAGTCCCTATCATCTCCTGCAAGCCTGCTACTTATTTCAGAAACACCCTGCATATCTCTCAAAGTAGCATTACAAAAATAAGATTCTGAAGAAGGTTTAATAGAAAATAATGTTGCCTTTTCACTTTATTTTTTTTTGGTATGAGCAAAAATTTAAAATTTAAAAGAAAAACAACTAAAAATTTAAAATCGTTTTTAATAATTAATTATTCGAAGATATTTTATTTTACCCTATGGTTATAACCAATTGTGTCGCAACCGAGGAGTCAGAATTCTTTCATAGCTTTGTTTTGGTCACTATTACAATGCTAAATACGTAAGTATGTTATTTAAAATTACAGGCAAACACCTGACAGACGATTAGGAGGTCTCTTGACGACCATTTACATATGAGAAATCAGCTTAGTCAAAATTAATCATCAATCAGAAATAAATTAGAAGTGAATCAGAACTAGAAAGAAGGGCGTTACGACAACTTAGCCCTGGATCATGTCTTCTTTGAGTTCAGATATCCTACTGTTAAAAATCTTAATTTTAAGTCTTTAATTTTTTGAGAATTCAATCTGCTTTTTGGTTTATTGATCATTTTAATCAACATCACCTGATTTGTGCCTCATTCAGTGTCAACTGTATTAGACGTTTATTAAAATTAGTCTATTAGCTCGTATTACTACACATATGTATAGATACTACCTCTTCACTTGATATCGGCTAATTGTTAAACATCTTTCAGAATTCTCGTTTGTTTCTGAACAATCCCTGTATTCACACCACGCTACCTATTTTTCGCTTCTCGCAATGTACGCTTTTCGATTTATGTTAGATGTGGGGAAGGTGGCACACCGTTTCCACTAAAAGATTGGATGTTATTCTAAAGGCCTCGCCTTTATTGTCTTTCGCTCCATATTCGGTGATTTACTGTTTCAGCGTATTTTACATCATTTAAATAATTTCATGGGTTACAACATCGCTTGTAGATCTAACGTTTTAATTAAATTCTAAACTCAGATAATCTTATGTGAGTATAGGTTTAAAGTTTGAGATTGTAAAGAGATAAACTGCGGCTTTTAGAAAATTTAACACATATTGAAAGAAAACTATTAGATATTATCAAACTCTACAACAGAAATGTTATAATCTATTTTCTACCCCTTTCAAAATTGATTTTCGACTTTTTTTTGGCAAAGGTCTAGATAATGGCCCCCTTCGGGGCTGGGGGGGGGGATCGAAAGAGGAGGTCTCCCTCACCACTGTACCATTAAAAGTTCGTGGCGGTCTCACCCCCATAAAAAGTTATGGGGGTTTAAAGTTAATAAGTATGTCAATTTTTATACATTTCTAGGCATGTAAATATTTATATAGTCATTCTTAAACAATATTCAAAGGTAAAACTAATGAAAAATACATAAAAATATTGAGAAAGTTATATAAAACATTATTTAAATATCATTATCAATAGGGTAGGTTAGGTTAGGTTATCGGGTTTTGTTCAATTGACCACCCTCTTTCGATCCCCCACCTCCACCCGCTTGAAAATTTTTTTTATTGAATTTTATTTGAAATATAGTGTATGAAAATTGACAAAATAATCAACTTTCAACCCATACTTTTTTATGGGGGTGAGACCGCCGCAATTTTTATGGGGTTTTACTCAGGTGACCACCCTTTTTCGATCCCCCTACCTTATTTAAATATCTTTATCAATAGGGTAGGTTAGGTTAGGTTATCGGGTTTTGTTCAATTGACCACCCTCTTTCGATCCCCCACCTCCACCCGCTTGAAATTTTTTTTTATTGAATTTTATTCGAAATATAGTGTATGAAAATTGACAAAATAATCAACTTTCAACCCCCATAACTTTTATGGTGGTGAGACCGCCGCAATTTTTTATGAGGTTTTACTCAGGTGACCACCCTTTTTCGATCCCCCCCTACCCTCTTTCGATCCCCCCTACCACCACTCCCATCTAACCCCCATAACTTTTTATGGGGGTGAGACTGCCACGACCTCTTTATGGTACAGTGGTGGTAGGGGAGACCTCCTCGTTCGATCCCACCCATCATCTAGACATATACCCTTTTTTTTTTGTTACGCCTAGAGTTAATCCACTTACTTTTAAATTCTCTTTCTATCTTGAGATCGAATGTGAATTTCTATTCGATAAAGCTATTTGTTACAGGTAGGTAGTGTTTCTTTTTCATCTTGATACGGAAAAAAGGAAACATAAAACAGAACCATTTGCTGTTAGTAAATTTTTGTTTTTGTTTCATCGTCACGCCGACAGTTAAGCATTGCAGCAGTTCCACGTCTATCTAGCGGTTTCCCGAGCTTATCTCTGTTTTCTGAACTTTTGACCATTGAAACGGTTCACATTGCACGGAGCTTACCTATTTTACACTTTCAGCAAAATTACTTTTGCGCTCGTCGAGATCTACATTTTACTTTTTACACATTCGCGCAACGTTCCCAGTCCTCCGGCATAAACTGGAATGCGAATTTAAGTGGAAATTGCATGCAAAACCTGGAACTGATGCAACTTCAAGAATATTTCCTTCGCGAACGTGATGCTTCTTGAGGTGTTATATGTACGTATATGTTATAAAGGAGAAATTTTATTAAAACTAAAGCGAATTTAAGAACTTAAATCTCAAGTAGTTTCGAGATAATTGAATTTTGCATGTTGGTGCAAGGATGAAGTTGATGAAAAAATAATAAGCTAGTTAATATTCAATCCATGGATTTTCATTTAGTTGCATTCATATTTATGGACGTACTGTCCCTATGGTCTAGAGCAGTGGTTCCTAAAAGGTAGTGATGAGCAAAATTGGTTTTGGTTTTACAAGACCAAGTCCAAAAACCGAACGAACGAGACCATGACTAAAACCAAACCTAATATGCAAGACTAAACGAAAAATTATTACATCCAGTGGATTTATGAATTAAACCATTTGAGGCAACTATAATATATTCTTTTCTTGGAACAAAACAAAGATAAACTATTTTTTTCCATATTTTTTACTTCTGTCAAGTACCTTGTACTACTTTTGTTCGCTATTGTGTGGTAAATAGAACAATTTTAGGTCTTTTTGCATCATTAATCATCATCATCATAAGGTCGTCAGTTCTAAGATTGGTTGGACACGCACCTCTACTCTTTCCTATCCTGAGCTAATCTTTGCATTTCCCTAAAATTAGAACAACCCACATCCTTAACTATTTGCGAACAGTAATCTAATCTAGGTCTACCTCTACTCCTCCTAACTTCCGTTTCTGCCTCTAATATGTCTCCGACTAGACCTTCATAACTGAGAAGGTCTTCTACCAATCTATCTTGCCTATTTCTTATTGACTTCCATAGAGTCCTCTGCTCTCCAATTCTTTCTAATATCTCTTCATTTCTAACTTTCTCTATCCATGGTATCCTCATCATTCGCCTGTAACACCACATTTCAAACGCTTCTAACCATTTCTTTTCTGTAGCGCCCACTGCCCATGTTTTGCACACATAGAGCGGCGCACTCCAAACTTACACCTTTAACAAACTTTTTAGAATTTCTAGATTAACCGTTCGCGAGAATAGAAGTGACTCCTTTTTATTGCAGGCGACTCGACCCTGTGCTATCCTCTGCTTTATTTCCCTACTACTTCTTCCGTCCTGACTTATCTGACTTCTCAGATAGTTAAAATCAACTACTTCTTCTTATTTTTCGTCTTTTACCTTCATATTCGTACTTTCGCTACTTTTTTTTCCCTTGGATACCAGTATTTTAATTTTACTTTTATTTATTTCCATAGAGTACTGTTTGGTCAATATCGCTTCCACTTTATTTAAAGCTATCTCTAGAAGAACTATTAAAAAAAAAATGGAAGTTTCAAAATGACCAAGACCAAGACTATATCAGCGAAGTCTTTGAGCAAGGCTAAGACTACGACCGAATAAGCAAGACTAAGGACCAAAACCAATACTAAGACTGAAGCAGCCTTTATTTTTCTCAGTAACTATAATAAATGTAGGTCAAATGTTTATGATGGCATAACTTTAGGACGTCTCGTCGTTTCCTACCACAAGGGCGGTCTGAACTCCATTTGCAATTGATAATACACCACTTCAATGTCTCACATTTTCCAGGCGTCACGTGAAGACTAATTCCTTCTTTTTCACCAGGCTTTGACGAATACCATTAACGAAAAAATAATCCCCTTTAACCTCCTGAGGCACCGAAATCTCTAGCATGATTACTGTTCTACTACAGCTGGATTAGAGGTGGTCATGACATAATCCATCAATTAAACATGTCAAATTGACTTCAATAAATTTAAGTAGCAACCCCTGACAATCAATCAACATTAATTCGATCCATTCGGCAATAATCCGTCAAAATTTCAATAGTTAATATTCTTTTAAATTAAAAAATGCCCCAGAACAGAATGTCGGTTTGTAGTAAATGTCAGGACCCACTACCCGAATTCGACTTCGTAACATGCAGTTCGTGCAAGGGAAAGTTGCATTACGAATGTGCCGGAGTTCGCGAGTCGAACTGGAGGAAATGCAGTTTAGAACTGAAGAGGAACTGGAAATGCTATGCATGTCGTCAACGGCAGGACATCAGGTACAATGAAAGAAACGGTGAAATCCCGAACAACCACAGTGGAAACGGAAATAACCAAACGGTAGCAACCAAACCTGATACCGTGGCTACCAAAAATTATAATGAGAGTGGAGTGTCGCCTGTGATCGAAAGCCTGAAGGTAAAATTGAGAGTTATCTTTGCTAATATGTATATATTAGTGATGCAACGGTAGTATCATAACGGAAACAGAAGCGGAAATGGAAGTAAATTTTTCCCGAAGCGGAAGTGCAATAATTTTAGGTCTCCTTGCATCATTAACCACCATCATAAAGTCGTCAATCCTACGGCTTTGGACACGTACCTCCACTCTTTCCTACCCTGAGCTAATCTTCGCATTTCCCTAAAACTAGAACAGTCCACATCCTTAACTATTTGCGAACAGTAATCTAATCTAGGTCTTCCTCTACTCCTCTTAACCCCTGTTAAGTTCCGATAAGCTTTCGTCATAAAAATGCAGAACTAGATGCAGAAACGGATGTGAAAAAGTATGCGGAACTTCCGTAATTCGGGAAGCGGAAGCAGAGGTCTGTTGCAATACTAATATATACATTTTGATTCGGGCCTAGAGGCAGTGTGTGATGGAGTTGCTACCTAACGTTTCGCTAGTACGAGTAGCTAGCATCTTCAATGGTCCTTCCATCTCTGATGCTGGATCCGCATCCAGCATCGAAAAACTTTACCAATATGTATCTAGTTTAAATATTTTGTTAAATATTATTCAATCATTTCGTTTACAGTATCACATGTTTCGACTGTTTATAGACAGGGCAATTCAAGCAATTTAAATTTATCCCTTCAATTGCTTCAATAGTCCTGTTAATAATTATTAGACTAAAAGATACAAAAGTGTATTGTTCTGGAGTAACATCGACCGTTTTTTTTTTTGAGCAACTCCAATTCAGGTTTTTATTTAAAATTTTTAAGGTGATCGTAAAACAGTTGACCAAAGACGAATTATCAGAAGTCAAGCGGAAAATATCGGACATCGAGTCGGTATTTACCACGTATTCCGAAAAGCAAGACGAATTTTCCGTTTTAACGAACAAACTGACAAAAGAGTACTCAAAACTGAAAAACGAGTGTGACCATTTGCAAGAGCTGAACCGAAAAATTGAAGGCGACGTTACAGATGTGAAACTGAAAGCCGAAGAAATGCGATGCGTGTGCAGCATGCAAAGCGTCAAGCCCAAAGATCATTATCTTCTTCCAAAATTGTCCAATCCCTCAATGTCCTCCAGAAGATCGATCCAAAGTCCTCCAAAGAAGTCCTATCAGATACCGAAACGACTGGTAAGTGGACGCTTTAGTAATTGATTACACGAACTCTTTCAGTTAAACAGAAACAATGAAGAACCAGGTTAGATTAGCCATATACATGGGGCTAGTATGAACAGTAATAATCGAAATCAATAGTACATGGTTCCTTAATTTTGTTTTTGAAAAGTTGCATTCTAGTTTCCGGATCTCTGAAAATTACTTCCCGACGTGTCGCTTGCCGCTGCAGCAGGCATTCTCAAGGGTGAGGAAACTACCACGCCACCCTTGAGAATGCGAAACGAAAATTCCGTTCGTGAAAACTGACATAAAGTCAGTCATGAACCATAAATAGCCAGATTATAATACAGCCTGGTTTTGTAGCATGACAACATTCCAGTGGCGTAACAAAATCTTAATGACACTAAACGCAAATTCATTGATGCCTCTCTCCATATCTCACACGTTTTTGGCTTGCTCATGCGCTGTCGGGCGCTTTAGTTTCTGATACAGAATACAAAATGGAGTTATGAGGCCCTGCAGGACCCTTAAGAGCTTGAGTTCCTTCTCTTTTGTAGTATTATGCACATTTAGTCAACTATTTCTGATGTTCGTCGCTATTTACATGATCTACAAATTCCTTGACTTCTTCTTTTTAGTAACTGATGCATTTGTTGCAGTATTTAAAACTTGTGTCCGCATTTAGTTTCCCTTTTCTACCTTTTTTCATGATGTAGGTATTTATATCATTCATTTGCCATCCATTTCTCTATTCTTTCACTAAACTTTTCTTCCTATTCCTCTGTTGTTCCTTCCTTTTTATTATCTCTAGCTTATTTCCCATTGTGTTATTGTGCTTCTTCTGATGTTTTCTCATTCTTTTCTCATGAGTACTTTCTTTCACATTCCTTTTTGTGCATTTTCTCCTGCGTTCTTTCTCTGGACGCTTTTATGGGGTGTTCGAATAGATACGTAGCTTCAACCGGAAACGTAGAAATACCTCCATGTATGATGCATGCTCTGAAAAAGCTTCCAAAATCTACTATTCCTTATCTACCACAAAAATTTCAACCCCTCAACTCTTAATTCTCGCATTCTTCTGTAACGCACTGTACTTTACTGCTAAGGTATCCCCCTTTTTCATGTTCCTATGTACTTTTACCTAAGTCCTTTTAGCAGTAATGTAAGTTGTCGAATAAAATTTAGTACTTCAAATGCCTTGAATTCCAACGTCTCAGTCTTTACTTCGCAATTTCTTCCATTAAGCACACTTAGCATAACGACCTCCTTCTGAATACCGACATTTCTCATGCAGAGTCTGATTCCAATTCGACCAAGAAAAAGTACAGAGGCCACGTCGTTACGAACCTACGAATCCAACAGGGATCTAGTGAGCTACACGTCAGGAAAAGCACTAACTCACATCTACGATTACGAAGCCTTCGGACGGTACATTGCGAACGAAATATCCAGTTTAACTATCGACAAGAACCAAAGGAAATTGAGACTAGATATCATTAAGCTTTGTCTCGACTATCACGACAAAGAAGATGACGATAATAATATTTTCCCTCATAAGCAGATCAATACAGAGTAGTACACTACCAGAAAAGTACGTAGAAGTCCATCTCATGAATATTCCTTTGCTTGTTCATCGAAATCTACCAAATTAAAAGATTTTTCCAAATTGTAGACGGCATGCTTTGAAAATAGCAAAGACCTTTCGACAGTTTTGGAATTTATAAACACTATTTTAACCCGGACAAAGAAGTTCATGGTGGTTAATATTCTGTAGAAACTGCCAGTCTTCGATCTTGCTGGATCTCATGAATAAATTTTGCTAAATGTAGCACTGTATGTAGCGGCATGGTCTAGAGGTTTAGACCATTGCTTAGCATTCGGTCCGTCTGCCTCAGTCCAAGTTTTTCTGTGGTTTCCTTGGATCACTTAGGCAAATGCTGGGACAGGTATATTTCTCAGATAATCTTTCATTCTCTTCTGTCTTCATTTCGTTCGTCCCATCTTTCTCACCCAAACCACCATCCACTCATTCCCACGATACCTGAAAGGAGACTGAAGAAGGCCTTCCACCCTACTTCCGGCGTAGTCCGAAGGGACGCCCACCAGCATTACTGGCTGGTGGGAATGAAACACCCAAAAGTTTTTTTTTATTGCGTTTACTATGACGTTTATAGGATTTCATAAAACGCTGTATTAAGAGAGCAGGTAAAATTGGTCATATTCTATCGAAGGTGTAGGCTACGCGCAGATGAGATCCAACAAGATCGAATCTGGCTATTTCGACAGGATATTGAACACCATGAACTACTTTGTTCGATTTTGGTAACGTTTCTATCACGTATGATGATTGCTGAACATATTGAATTCCACTAAAAGTAGCATTGTACTACAGATGGCGTTTATAGCGCCGTTTGTAGGATTCCATTGTTTCACCCGACTTGGTTGGTACACAGTATGCGAAAGAGTGAACCTTACGTGCTTAGCACTACTTCCAAAAGTCAGTCAGTATGCGCGCATCGCGCCGTCCTTGTTGCTGTTGATGTAGGCGACGTATTGTAACTCAACACCAAGATCCGCACTTTCGCATACGGTATAAGCCCTTACTGAAGTGCGTTTTGTTTCAGCTAACCTAACAACATTTATGACGACATGGAGTCAGTAGCTAGTCAGTGACAGATATATTATGTAATATGAATTATAGCAATGTTATTTTATACTGTTATGTTATCACCAGCTTGTTCAAGGTCTAATTCATACAAAGATCCTTAATCTCCTTCATATGTCCAATTGATTAATACGATACCTGTAAAAGTTTTTCAAATAAATTAAGTGCGTAGTCCTGATAGAATTATGTGCTCTTCTTTTGTGTCCCATGTACTTCGAATACATCTAAACTGTCCAAATTTACTAGAATTATCTAGTAATTGTTATAATTGTCTTGTGTAAAGCAAAGATTTTCCTCTAACACTTATGGATCCCAATCGCAAACTGTTGAATGGTTTTGGAACTGGTATATTCAGAAAGTTTTCGATGAAGTTTTTTGGGCAAATTGTTATTAATTATCTATGTAAATAAATATCCAGTATAAGTAGTCGATTTTCGATGAGAATTTGAAGCAAATATTGATAGCAATCGACAGAGCACATCATGGTGGTGTAAGTGAAGATGATAGAGGAAATGGCTAAAGCTGCGGTAAAATTATATTTGAACCCATTTTGTGGAAAAAAACACTTCAATAAAATGATATGTTCTTTTCGATGGGAAATTACTTTAGAAGAAATAAGTTCTGGCGTTTCTTATTAGCTTATCAATTATCTCTACAACATTACGTCTCTTTGTCCTACTTTTCTTCCTGGGAACAGTGAGGGCGGGTTCTTTCTTTGTTTTGTGACTGTTAGTTCCTTATGTCCAAGGACACTCGTTCGGACAAAAGCCATTTCGTTATCCTGTAAATGAGACTGGTACTTTTTATTTATAGGCTGCTTGCGAAGTATAATTTGCGAAAGTAGACAAGCAGCTTGTCACCAGGGCAACGGCTTTTGTCTATTGTTTTCTCCCCCTTTGGCTTGGTAAGGATACCGGAACGTTCACGAGGAAGTTCTTTTTTGATAAGAGCAGGTCGGTGCAGTGTCGTATTAAATTTAATGGAGAATGAGATTGAACCACGACAACTTTTCAATCATTACTAAATTCGTGGATATTCTGATGGAATCAACTGACGACTGATAAAACATCTAATACAAAAGTAAAACTATGCAAATGATCTAACATCGACATTAATCGCACTTTCTAGTTAACAGTCAGCTATTTTCTACCATGTTGGACGTGTTTATAAGTCAATATTCGATCATAGGGTCGTAAAGATAGAACAGCGACTGTTTGAGCAGTTATCTCCACTAATAGTACAGGCCTGACGCTGGAAGCTGGCGGAAATTTTAAAATGGCGTGGATGCGCGGTGACAAAAGTAGGCAGTTTTAGGTATAACGATTGCAGCCCTCTTTCTTCAGTGTTCCTAACAAGGGCGCAGATTAAATATTTAAAAATAGGGATCAGTGAGCAAGTAATAGACAGACAAACAGAAGAACTAATTGTTGATGTTGGTGACAGTGATAGAGATTCCCATGATGACAGTGAATGTGAAAACTAACTATAAAATAAAAGCAATAGGTTTATTTTTTCTTTTTGGTAAGTTATGTTTCTACATTATCTTCTAGTACGCTACTGTTCTGTCTGTATTAATACCATAATTTACGCCTACTGAAAGCCTATTTGTGTATCAGTTCCAAGTGACTTATCCAAATAGGTCATAAATGGGCAAGGACCCGGGCGACCGCTCGCCAGCTTCCTTCGTCAGACCTGTACGACATTCATCGGATCCTTATGCCTACTTTCGGTATCCGTTATGATGTTCATCGGACTTTTAATAAAAAGTCGCGAATATTGTAACGTGTTGAACATTATACGTCAACAGGGAACTGACATGAATACGTGACAGTGAATTAATAGAGCTAACCTTAGGTTGCAAATTTAAAATATCGTAAATACCTCTATTTTAAATCAGTGACAGTTAATTTAATATTTTAATGCATTCTATGTCTAAAATTTTTTAATGGACAGTTTCACATATCATAAATGCTCAAAGAAGATATTTCCTTTGATACAAATTTCCTAAGCTGCTCTCAATTTAGTATAATACAACCGTGGTATCTGGGTGTTGATTCAGATTTACATAATTAATGCTGGCATCCCCTAGAGCGCTCTCCCAACTTGAAGCCAATAAAAAGAGCTTCAAGTCAAAGTACCAATAACTATGGGATGATAAGTTAGAAGATTATGGTTGACATTGACTGAATTTCATTTTACAAAGGGAATTATTAATCACGCTAGTGTTCGACAGTGCATTTATCATACATAAATAAAGGAAAACATGTCCATCAACTATAGTTAGTAACTTTGAAATTAGTTTTAGTATACATATATAAAAGCGCAGCTGCGTTGCGAGAAGGTGATGGTAAATCTCTTGAAGTAATGGGAAGACATTAAGCCAGCTGAGATTTAGAAATGATTTGGGATTACAACGATATTCGCAGAAATACACAAACGTATTAATATTCTCTAGTATTTCCATTATATAAACTGACGGGGTGCATGAATGTTTTTGAAAACCTGTCAATACTTTTAACGATTTGAAACAAAATACATGGTCTGTCCAATAAATATGCAAGCTGAGCTTCTAGGGTAAGTTAAAGTTTTGTATGTAATACACGGTTTGTCCAACAAATATGCAAACTCAATTTCTATGGTTAGTTTAATTTGTACATCGTCATTCGCATTGTTGCACCCAGTGAACAATACTCTTGTCTACGATACTTCTCGTCAAATTTTTGGTGAAACTCTCAAAAGGAGATGAGGAAGAAAGATCGTTTATAAAATCAGCGCACTAAAGGAAACTACCTTTTTCAATGAGCACTTAGAAGATTGTAAAGATTGATGCAAGCCGAGGACATATCTCAACCTCCTGAGGTTGAATGTGTACACTCTCTTGAGCCTAACGATCGTCGAATTTCTTCCTATGAAACAAGTAGTCCGCATGACTATCTGGTATCATATAATTGGATCAAGGCATACGATTATCTTTCACATTGACTAGATTTAGCTTCCTGCAGTTTCCTTCTGTTTCCTCAGTGCAGGTAGGTCATGAAGTGGCGACACCGAGGGGGTATATAGGTGCATTACCATCTACTCGTATTATCTTTTATTGTATTTGCTTGTAATGGAAAGTTGATAATCAGCATCATCAGATGACATTTGAGCAACAGTGGAAACATCAAATTGTTTCGTAAAGCGGCTGTGTTTTCTTATTATTACTCGGTTAACAAAAATCCACAAGCATTTTTGCTTCGCTTCCAATTGCCTTTTCTAATGCATCCGACATTATTTGTACATAAAGTGCAATAAATTAACGCTTTAAACTAATTAAAACCTATAAAACGTAACAAACAGAAAATTTACTGAGAGGAGCACCTAATTAATTATGAGGTTGGAGATATCATTCAAGCTGTTGGTGAAGATATTAATGCAAACTTAATCGCTTAATTCTGGCACTTAAACGAGCATGGCTTTCAAAAGTTACAGTTATTAAGCTCTTGAAACGAGTGTAATTAATTAAGTAGGCTTGTTTAGTATAATCTGGGCACGTACCAGGGCAATTAGAAGATTTTTGTTCATTTTGAAAAATTTAAAGTAATTGACACAAAAACTCATCACACCAGTATCAGCACCACATGACTGTCCTCGATTGTTTTACGGAACTACTTCAGTTTGATGATTTGGTAATTTATCGAAACTGCATGAGATGTGCTGATGAGAACAAAATCGTAAATTGTATCGAGCAGTTTCAATAAATTACACACGAAGCACTGATTCGCCGTTACTCAAATTCTTCTGCATCAAATTAAATGTAAGCTATGCTTAGAAATTATATATATTATTGCATATAGGTATTTTTAAAGGTATATACATTCAACTAGGGTAAACGTAAGTCATAGATATGCCTAGAAATTATATATTATTCCATACAGACAGTTTTAAAGATATCTATGGTCAACTAGGGTGAACGTAGGTCATAGGTAATGTCATGTTTTAAGGTATCAACTAGTATGTCTCGTATCGCACACAGCGATTGTAATTTAACCACAAGGGTAAATTTCAAAAAAGGATAACTGCACATCCTTGCTGAAAATTTGCCACACTCGAACCGTTATAAAGTTATGAAACGGTTAGCATCCCCAAGTTGCTAGCTACATAAATTACTGTAGCAGCATTACATGAGAGTTGAAAGTTTATTATCTTAAGAAATTCCGGCAAGTCTCCAATATATGTAAATTCTCACAGTAACATAACTTTGCCTGACACGATGTAACACACGAGAACAAATGAAGTTATGACACGCACCGCATTCATCCCCTTTGGCAACAGGAAGAATACCAGAAGCTAAAGAAATATGTGATTAGCTAATGAGAGTAGGTTTAAAGCTAATATAAAGATCCAATTGCTTTTTTTTTTTAATTAAGCGTCAGAATCTTACTATATCATTCGTAGATTTTGATTCTAACGATGACCATTTGATAAATAAATGTGACCCTTTTTTATTAATGTTTTTGAACGATGTTAAAATAGCTTTCTAGTCTTGGTGTTGGTGTTGATAATACACAGGGGCGCAACAAGAGGGATTTCCACGGGTGCCTGAGCATCCACACGATTGAGTTGGGCACCCAGTCAATTTCAGTCGATTCAGATAATAACCCAACTTGAAAGTTCGGTTCAAATAGTTAAGCTCGTAAATGAGCAACCGAACTAGATCTTTTCAGCTTATACACACCCGCAGTATATAAATGTTTATAGTATTATGATGGGAGCACCCAGTCGAACTGTAACGTTGTTGCGCCCCTGGTGATACAATCTCGATCTTGGTGTTGGTCTTCTGTGTTAAGTCTTGATTGGGGCTCTGAGGTAGTACTCTATAACCCGATAAATTCGACAGCTCGACACTGCTTTGTAAAACGTTTGTCGGATAACAAACTACTCTTTTGTGAAAAAATCCGGACTACAGTGGGTAAGAAGTACTCTATAATCCGACAAATTCGACAGTTCGACGCACCTCCGTAAAACGTTTGTCGGGTAACAAGGTACTCTTTTGTAAAAAAAATCCGGGCCATAGAGGGTCTTAGGCAGTACTCCGTAATCCAACAAATTCGATAGTTCGACACACCTCCGTAAAACGTTTGTCGGATAACAAAATACTCTTTCGTAAAAAAACCGGGCTATAGGGGGTCTTAGGCAGTACT